TCCGTCAGCTCTTGCAAGTGTTTACAACGAATGTGCGCGTCGCTAAGGCGAGAGGCACATGTTGAAAACCACCCGCCCTCCATCTGTGAAGCTGTTGCCAATGTTTAAGCTTCAGGGTCATAAATGGTGAGGGAGTCGCAGGCGGAACGCTCGGCCCGCCCTAAAAACTGGTCTCGGGGTGCGACAGGGAGAATTTATTTATAATAAGAGGGAATGAAGGAGGAGGAAGAGGAGCAGGAGGAGGAGGAGGAGGAGACGGAATAATACTAATGATGATAATCATAACAATAACAACAATAATACGAATGATACTAATAATAATAAGAAGAATAATAATAACAATAAGAAAAAGAAGAAACAGAGGAGGAGGAGGAGGAGGAGGAGGAGGAGAAGGAGGAGGAGGAGGAGGCGGGGGGAGGTCGAGGAAGAGGAGGTGGGCGGGGAGAGACAGCGCGAGTCTGCTGCCGGCCGAGGGGATGGGTCAGGGGGCGCCTGCGCCTGCGCCCGGCGTCTTCCCAGGCGGCGCTTGTGCCGCCCTGCCCGAGGAGGAGCAGCAGCAGCAGCAGCAGGCGGAGGACGACTTCGAGGACGAGGAAAAGAATCGGGGAACCGAAAGCTGCTGCCGCTGCATTGACGCGAGGACGCGGAAAAGAATCGAGGAACCGAAAGCAGGGGTCAAGGCGCGTGGATTGGCGGCGTGTCCCGTTTCCGTACCGGATCGTCGCGCTCCGTTGCCGAATCGGGTGGCGTCGGCCTCACGTTCCGCGCCAGATCCACGGATCCGTAATCCATGTTGGCGCCCGAACGAGGAAAAGAAGAAGAAGAAGAAGAGAGAGACAGCCGGCACGAGGGTTCAGGACAGCATGAGTTTTGGATGGGTCACCTTGTCGAGTTGGGGCCTTCCACCTTGGATTGTCTTTCTTTGGGGGTATCTCCATGGAGCGTCTCGCCTTAGGCGAAGAGGCTAACGTTCTTAAACCACGCTATCGTTGCCACGTTTCGAGTGCGTCACCACCTATTTTCGTCCAGTGCTACCCTTCGCAATATCGCATTACTTCCAGTCGGTGCTTCGCTTTCTCGTCCCATCCTGTCCACACCCCTGTCACTCCGTTCGCCTATCCAGTGCACGCTTCCCTCGACCGCCGCCCTGGTCTCGCCAGAGCCCGTGGCCTACGTCACCTCAGAGCACTCGGGTAGTGAGACGGGCGCTAGCAAGTGGTCGAGGAACGTGGAAGCGAGTGGAACTAGGCGGGAGATCGTCGGGGAAAGTGGAAACAAGACGTGGTCGTGGCTGCTGGCGCACCAAACCTGTGTAGTCGCCTCCGGCCCATCCCGTTACCGTGCCTAGGTGGTGGGTCAGAGTCCTTGTGGATGTTTCTCGGTTTTTTGGGGGAATGTTTCTCGGGTTTGTGGTGGGTCTGAGTCCTCTTGTATGCCTCTCGGGGGGGTCTCTTGGGACGCTTCTTGGGTGTCCCATGAACGCCTCTCGGGTGCCCCTTGGGTGCTTCTTGGGCGCCTCTCGGGCGCCCCCTGGGGGCGACTTCACTTCTAGAGGTTCCCGAGCTTTTTCTCTCGATTTCCTCTTCGCTCTCTCTCTCTCTCTCTCTCTCCTTCTCTCTCTCTCTATCCCTCACTCTCCCTATTTTTTTTTGGAGGGGGGCGAAGAAAAAATCCGACTGTAATCCGTCACAGAAGAAATCCTTTTGTAAGCGCCCACAAAGGGAATCCGATTGAAATCCTCTGCAAAAGCAATCCTATTGTAATCCTCCACAAAAGGAATCCTATTATAACGCGCCACAAAGGAAATCCTTTTGTGGCGGCCAGGAAAGGTGGGGGGGGCAGAGAAAAAAAAAGAAAAACAAAAAAAAAAAAAACAAAAAAAATCGGGCGGGGGCGCGGAAAGAAAAATAAAATAAAAAACGTTGATTTGTTTTTTTCTTCCGCCCCCCTCCCCCCCCCACTTTTCCTGGCCGCCACAAAAGGACCCCCTTTGTGGCGCATTACAATGGGATTCCTTGTGCGCCGGATTACAATAGAATTCCTTTTGTGGAGGATTCCATAGGACTCCTTTTGTGGAGGAATACAATAGGATTCCTTTTGTGGAGGATTACACTAGAATTTCTTTTGTGGAGGATTACAGTAAAATTCCTTTTGTGGAGAATTCAATAGGATTCCCTTTATGGAAGATTACAATAGGATTCCTTTTCTGGAGATTCCAATAGGATGTTCCTTTTGTGGACGATCGCAAGAGGCTCCCCTCTGTGGCGCATTACACTAAAATTCTTTTTGTGGAGTATTACAATAAGATCCCTTTTGTGGAGGATTACATTCGAATTCCTTTTGTGGAGGATTCAATCGCATTCCTTTTGTAGAGGATTACAATAATATTTTTTTGTGGAGGATTACAATCGATTCCCCTTTGTGGAGGATTCAATAAGGTTTCTTTTGTGGAGACTTACCATAGGATTCCTTTTGTGGAGGATTCAAGAGGATTCCTCTTGTGGGTGATTACAAAGGATTCCTACTGTTGCGGATTACACTAGGATTTCTTTTGTGGAGCACTTGAACAGGATTATATTCGCTATTTTTCCCTTTTCTCTTCTTCCTCGGCAGCTCCACTTTTCTTGGTTGCCACGATGGGGTTCCCCCTGTTGCGAATGACAATAAGATTTCTTATTTGTAAGAAGGTACACTGAAAAACTATTGCGTTCAACGTTACGCTAGAATGCTCTCTGTAAAGAACTCCAACACAATTCCGCTTGACGGCGGTTTGCTACACACGCGAGAGATGAACGATTCTTTCTTCACTCACTGCATGGCCTCTCGAAACGCACCCCTCGTACAGTTTGCAAGCAACAACGCCTCTGCAATTGCAACCTTAAACGGTCACAGCACTATTCGCAATATTCCCCCGGACGTAAATACTAATATCACCACAATGGCGCCTATTGACAGCCAAGGGAAAATTGAAGACGCCTCAACTTCGCTTGAGTACTAATGGCGTTGGGAGGGAAAGGGGAGAAAGAGATACATCAAACTATGATATACAGTTATATATATATATATATATATATATATATATATATATATATGTGTGTGTGTGTCTTGGCTTCCACAGGCTAACCAACACCGATGGTTGAAGCGCGGTTATCATCGCACGTCAAAACAACGCAGTGTGCATGTATCGGGAAGGCTTCTCTCGCAGCGGCGGCGCCTCGCAGCGACGATCGTTGAGCTTCCCTCGCAGCGGCGACGTCTCGCGGCGGCGGTCTTCTGGAGACGCACAAGGCCTCCAAAAAAAATAGTTCGGAATAGAGAACCAGCGGTCAGGCTCTCGGCTGGGTTGCTCTCTCTTGGAGCCTGTTTCGCAGGCAAACGAGCGCGGTTACCTTCGCTACAGTGGCGCGGCCCTGGCTGGAGTCTCTTCTCCAGCAGGGCCGCGCCGATACCTGCATGTTCGCGCCGCAGAGGTTCTAGCATGGAGGAGGGGAGAGGAACTAAACGATTAAATCCGGCACGGTATCGTATTATATCGGAACAGTTAAAACAATAATACTGGCTATATTATATACTGATGGTCAGGTTTTACATAGTACTGCGCACTGCTCTGAATATACATGGGAGCGTAAGGTCAGACATTGTGTTGATGGGATCTGCAACTAACGTCTCTTGTGGTGGTGAGCCTGTTCATTGTTACTTGTGTAACGGCATTCATTGTTTGAATGCCCTCTCTCGTGCAAGGCGTTAGCAAAGGGCGGGCCGCTCACTGCTTAGCCCACCACTTCTTCCACGCGCGGAGCTCTTTGGCGAGCTCCGCGTGGTTCTTCAAGGAGGAGCCAAGGTCGCAGCTGGTCTTGGCGTAGCTCTTCTTGAGAGCCTGAACGTGGCGTGTTGTGGAATTGTGATGTTACCACGGGTTTTCACATATACTTCAAAATCTTTATGTAAATAGATGTTCAAAGGGACGCGGCCTCGTGCTTGTAGTAGAGCTTGTTGTACTCCGTCATCCAGTGGTCAGCCCTGGTCGTCTGTCCGTAGAGGTTCCTGTAGTGCTGGTTGCTGCGCCTCCTGGGGAGGAGGGGGGAAGGGAGTTCAGGGGTGCAATAATACTTATGTGTTGTGTTTTAGCGGGGTTGTTTGTAACGTAATGGTTGGGGGTATGTCGTGGGTTTTACCTTCCCCCGGGGTCGTTGCTTGCTCTGCCTTGCTGCGAGCTTCGGCAAGAGCTTTTTTTCAGTGGCGCCACGGCGGCCCGCGCAGCCTTCTGCACCACCTTCTTGATCTCGGGCTTTTTCAAGAAGTTCACCGCCCTCTTGGTGGCCAAGCGCTCCTTGTTCGCCTGCCGTGGATAGACGATGGGTGGTGGAGTTTGTTTCTTGGTTCTTCGGTTGTTTTTTTGTTTGTTTTTTGTGCAATCCGCTTGGGCCTGGAGTTTCTCGTAGTACTTCTTACTCCCGTACGGCGGGTTCCCCATGGCAGTCTTGGACTTTATGTCGAGGGTACAATCGCCAGCAACAAGAAGAGCACAATCGAGGCTAAGGAGCCAAGAAGAAGGCAACTCAAATTGCAAAGGGATGTGGGGAGAGGCGGGAGGGATGAACCGCAAGACATCATCAGAAGTACTGCTGAAATGATTGCTTCGATGAAAGCATCCACTTTCCCCTGTCTCGCACCCTTCTTCTACATCTTTCCCCCTCATTTTCCTTCTTCCTCCTTTTCTCTTCCTCCCTCTTCCCTCCCTCAAGTCTCCGCCGTGCCCCGGGATACTTTAGTGTAAACCCCTGCCGCCGCCGGGCACTCGGATACTTGAGTGCAAGTCCCTTCTTCTACTTGGCATTGCACTGCAATCGCATTGCATTGCAATCGCATTGCATGGCAATCGCATTGCAATCGCATTGCATTAGAATCGCACTGCATTGCAAAGGCATTGCATTGCTGTCGCATTGCGCTGCATTGCAATCGCATCGCATTGCATTGCATTGGCTGGGGGGGAGAAGGGAAAGAGAACGGGAGAGAGGACGGAGAACGGATGAGGAAGGGGGGGGGAGAAGACGGATGAGGAGAGGAGGAGGGAAAGAATGAAGGATGAATTGAGAGAGAGAGAGAGAGAAGAGAGAATAATGAAGAAGTCAAGGAGAACATCACAAGAACTAACGAGAAAACGGGAGAAAAAGCTCGGGAACCTCTAGAAGTGAAGACGGCCCCCTGGGCGCCTCTTGAAGGCCTCTTGGGTGTCTCTTGGGGCATCTTTGCGGTCTCGGGGGCCATCCTTGCACAAGAATGCTCGCGGGGCTATTCGATACGGAGAACTCGAAGGGACCTGAGGATCCCCCGCGCAGTGCGTACGGCACGGTGGCGACGCAGCAGTGCGACGCCCGACAAAGACTTGGCGCGCTGCGGCAATATGGGCCAGCCGGTGCCAGCGACGCCAAACCAAGCCGGGCAAGGTGAAGCACGAACGCGCCGCCTATATAATCCCGTGCACGCGAGGCCAGTCCCTTTCCAATGGTGACACAAGAGCGTGTCAGCGCAAGCACTGCCTGGGGAATCGTCCATATGTTTGTACGCGCTGTCAGCCCTGAATTAAGTCTTCACCTGCCCGTTGAACGTCTGAACTCTGCCCTACACATCCTTCAGCAGTGTTCAGCTGCAGTGTCGGCATGGGGCAGCTG